ATGTCTTTCTATTATTGTTCGGAAACACTTCTTAACAGGCACTATCATGAAGAACGAGTTAAATCAAAGGAGAAAAAAATTAAAAAAAAACAAAATAAGCATAATTGCTGCTGATGAGGAAATGGTTGACATAAAATCAATCAAAAATTATGCAGAAGCAAATTAGCATGTTTAAACTTACTTACCTGTGAAAAAGAAGCGCGCAGTTGAGAATATTAACCGAAATTAGCCGGATTCAGCTCAAAACAGCTGATAAATTTCGATTGATCGACCGTGGCGAGAGCGCAGACGGAAAAGTGGCGAGAGCGCAGATGGAAAGGCTACGTCGTACTGCTAAGATAGTGTGCATGCGGAGGAATGCAGACGGCAGGACGGATTGCTCAGACACCACTCAATCACTGGGATACGGCAACCTTCCATCCCCGCGTTGTCGCGGCCGCAGCGCTGGTACGTCCGTGGGACCGCCCCTCTACGGTCGGATATGGACTGGGTACATCCGTGATAATATTGCAATGCCATGCGCAAGACTGACGCGACCTTACCGAAAAATTTTGAGGTGGTTCTGAGACTAAAACATATCGACAAATTGCAATAGACATGATATGGAACTCGCAGAGGAATCGATTTAATGTGAGTGGTAATGTATAGGCTTACACAAACAACGGCTGAAACGTAGCACAACGAAGCCTTCGAAGAAGGTCAAATGTGCGCGTTACATACTTGTAGACAACGGCAAACACTGTTCCTTCACACCAAACACGCGGGACATTAACGAGACGCGACAATGGACGGTAGAGCACAGCTACTGTGCGCTGGGAACCTCGGAACAGGAGGCGACCACATGGTGGACCACCTCTGCGATGGGAACTCTCTTTTGCTGACAGGAACAGCACTTGCAATCGAATTTCGGTAAGGTACTGCGTCGAGTGTATCAACAGGGCTCAGATAGCACATAGCAGAGAAGAAGTTAGGACCCGCGCAAAAAGAATCGCAGCTGATAGCGAGTCGCCAAGTAATCCAAGCAATCCTAGTAATGAATGTCGAACAGCATCGTGACACACTATGAACATCGTTGAGACGACTCGTGACACGCCTCAGACAATACAGAACATTTTATGTGATGCTTGACATTGACCGGATCAGGATACGTAGTTTGGCTTCCGTCTCCAGTCGTGTTTGCTGCAAGTTGGCCAAGTTATCCCTGGTGACTGGAGACCTTCGTATAATGTAGTAAACAACGAGAGTTCATTTAGAGTATTAGTTTAGAAGCTTTTAGTGAGCTAGTGTTTTAGCTGTGACAAAGAGAATGATTGTAAGTGATAAGCAAAAGAATCGGTACAGCAGTAATCCATCTGGAAATAGCTGTAAGAGTTGGTGATCGGGAACTGATAGCTTGTTGAGGAGGAACAACTGAATGTATCAGTAAGCTAACCCAATAAAGCCACAATTAAAGTATAGTAGAGCTTCTGGCAGTAACTGTCGTGAGAACAAACTAGGACCACATCATTGATATCAAGATGTAGCTAGTCTTGAATTGCCGATATGGGGCCAAACAATAAATAAGTAAGAAAATAAGGTGCTTTGGCTCCGGGGGGGGCTGTAAAATTGTGTCAGGTCCATCGAGAAGCTCAGGTTTAGGTTTAAGCCTCAGAGAATAAGAGGGAATCCGAAGTGCGCAAGCAATAATAGTAAGTAAATAAACAGTACTGCAAGCATTGGCCGAACAAAATCAGAGTAGCGAGCACATATAGTGCTTCAGAAAAGTAATGTACTATAAGGCACTAAAATATGGTAAGTTAAGGGATAGGGGCGAGGAGATACAGTTAGTATTATAGATGGCTTGCGACAAATAAGAGGGTACACAAATCAAGTATAACATATAGAACACCTTGACTGCTTCTCCTCGAAGAAGAAAGCTCCAGCATTTATCCCTTGAATTACGACGTTCAGTATTCTCTATTCTGTGGCCTACTTCTTGCCAAATCTCAAAATATTAGGTCGGCGGGAAAGTTTTGTCCCATTTTTTAGCAAGCTCTCTCTATGTGCAGAATCACTCAGGATTAAATATATCCACAGTCGTTGTTGAATACTTCTTGCCAACGTTCTAGCCTTCATAGATGCCATCCCTTCAAAATGCAGGCTGACGCGAGGTAAGGAAATTACGACGTCAACTTGATTTCGATTTGAAACTCTTGGAGTTTTGTCGACTAAGGATGGAGCTAGATCGGAGAACAACCAACAGAAGGAGCGAGCCATACGGGGATGAGGAAGTACTGTTCACCCATACTGCACCAGCTCTGAGCACTTCTCTTGCAACTTGCAGTATGGCATTGTCATGCTGGAAGTAGACTTTTCGAACTTTTCCTTTCCTCTGATCGACAATTCGCTTCAAATCTCGGAGCTGCTGCGTGTAGAGATTGGCAGTGACAGTAAGCTCCCTCATCCAGCAGTTGCCAAAGTACTGGCCCATGTACATCCCACCAAATTGATAGCATAACCTTCTTGGGGTGAACATCTTTGGGAACCTCTTTTCGGCGTTTCTCCCGAAACGACCCAGTGTGCTTTCTCGTGGAGTTACAGTGGATCCATCACTCATGCTTGTGATGAGATGTTCCAGCCTCTGTTACCTGTATGCGAATTGAGCAGAGTCAAACAGGCACACACACGGCGATCGCAATCAACAGTCTTGAGGCACATGTCGACTCTGCTTCTCCCTTTCCCTTTATCGTTAAAGGAATCTTCCGGACCATGGACCAGTGGGCGGGACCGGAAGTTTTTGTGACGAAATGCATGGTAGGTACGGATCCACGTGTCGAACGCACGAACGTGAACAGGATTCACTTCAAACCTTCCCATGAACGTGGATCCGTACCTACCATGCATTTCGTCGCAAAACCACTTTAAGCTCACATTATACGAAGTTTGTAACCCAGCGGACAAGCATTGGTAATTGTGGGCGTGATCGTTATGCACCTCATCATTTTGGCCTCGCCAGCATTCATATTATATCAAATTCGAAAAGTGGAGCAAAACTTTCCTACTAACCTAAAAATGAAAACGGTGAAAATGGCTGCGGAAAAAGGACGTTTTTTTTTCTTTGTTCCTCGACCCCGCGGTGATCACATTCCGTGTTAGGCTCGGCCTAGACTTTTCTCAGTTTCTCTCCAAGCTTCGACAGAAAGAGAACAGGGTACGGGATGTCGACAATATGATTGGGAAACTCGTTGATGAAGGGCTAGTCGTGCTGTACTTTATCACATCTACTCCATGGATAGATGCTGCGAGTCCTTGTGGGAAGTCCAGTTTTTTATCCTTACAGAGGAGGTCGTTCAGGGTGCGCATGCTTTTTCAAAACGGTTTTTTGCATGATATAGGGGCACATGCAGGAACCGCAGAACTATACAGTGCGTACCAAAAGTATGTGGACACCTTAGAATCGATTCTCAGGGGTCAGCTAAAGGCTTTTTTGTCATGAAACCTTCACCATTCAACTCCTAGTGGTCGATAACCTACAATGATATTTTCGGCAAAAGATTTCGTTCTAACTTAGCGAACTATTTTTCATGGAAAGTTTTTTCTTTGTATCAAAATTATGTGGACACCCTGAGGCAGATGAAGTTTTTGCATCGATTTCCTAACCTATTTTTACTTCTCCTTTCGTTACTTATTCTGCCATCATTCCTCTTCACGGCAAGCATTTTTCTGAAGAAGACCAAGCACAGATGTGGAGTCCTCATGTTGCTGAATATTCCAATTGCAAAATCGCACGGCAACTTGGCCGTGCATCTTTGTATGTTGGAAAAGAGATCCAAAACTGAGGGTCGTCCACGATCACTAGGTATTCAAAACAACACAAAAATGGCTCATTATGTTTCAAAATTTCTTTCATCTGCTATACACATACGAATGACCTTCCGCGTCTTAAAAATGAGCTACTAGCGGTCCATTCGATTGGATGAGCGCATGATACAATAGAAAATAAAGAAGCTTCGTGTATGGACGCCTAGCACAAATTGGCAAGATGGAAATCCTACGTATGAACTGAACCACAACACATGGATGTCGAACGCAGACCGACAGCGCTTTCTGAAAATGCTAGACTAGAATAAAAGTTCTTCGTAGAAATTTCCTTCTTGGATCACCTCGACTGGCGGAGAGGAGCTCGCCTTTGGCTACTCTGGTGGGTCTCGTTTTTTTTTGGAGAGACCTTGGTCGTGACCTGCAGAGTTGTGCCATTTGACATGGAAAAATAAAAGATGAAAAAAAGGATGTGGCTTGCATTGACGGAATAGTTAGGGGTACGGGTGATGCACAGCGATGTTTTTGGAAAGATACACCGGCTGCTTGAACGATGTACCAGAGACTCGACAGAGCGAGAAAGTAGCGAGAGCCCCTCTCATGCGCATGTTGTTCTCTTCCCTTAGAATTTAACACGTTGACGACATCGCATGTTTTGGCATTTTGCACCTCGTGGGACAGGAGCGATTTTGCGACCGCGCCGTCCTCACCTTACTTACGCTTATTTTTTGTTAAAAATGCACAATAACTTGAATTTCATAGGACTATTTCGGCAAGGACGATCGCACAAAGGTTAAGTATATAAGTAGCAAAAGGTTTTCGTTTAGAAGAGCGCATAATAACCACGAAGAAGTAAAAAACATCACTTTCGCTGCGAATGAAATTAAAAGCATTTATATCTAAGTACTCCCATCAAATCAAATATATTGAAACTCACAGAGTTTTGTTTCAACTAACTCTAAAATCTTTCATAAGAATATTGACGGCAGTGAAAGTATTATTAAGAAAGAATCGGAACGAAAGTTTTGTGCGTTCGGAAAATCTTTGCTTAATCAAAAGATACTTGACCACTCTAGCTGCCAAGCGGTTTATAGTCATGCTAATGTATTATCTATAGAATGAATACAAGAAACCCGAGAGGAAGGAGCGCAAGCACGATAAAAGTGAGTAGCATAGACTTGACGCGCTTGCGCGTCAGAATGTCCGATGCGGTGCGAAATTCTTGACGCGCATGCGCGTCAGCTTGTCGTCAACGTGTTAAAAGTAGGCCAAATATATCAGGGGGGCCAAAAAAAAAAGACATTTTGCCCATGTCGCACTTCGGCCATTTTTTCTTCCCAGAGACCGCCGTCGTTGACGGAAGTTTCTCAGCATAATATCCCCTAAATGTCCCTCTATAAGTAGACGCAGGCCCTCCTCCACTGCCCTCACCGTATTCAGAATATGACGTCATCTGTCATCGTCGTCAAGCTCCAGGAGGCCTACCAGAACTGCTTCAGCCTGAAGCTCTCACATAATTTCGTGAATCGATTCAACGTTGGATAGATTCTTAGGGACCTTAGCTCCCACTATGCAAACCCCTTTGGAACCCGCCTTCCAGGGGAGGTCGTTATTTCACACGATCCTTCGAAGACCCCATTGAGCTCTACCAGCGCACCATGTTTACGAGGCAAATTTTTCTGGTGCCACCCACGTAGGTGGCCACTAAGAAGTTTTTCTTATAGAATGAAATGTGCTCTTCAATACCAAGCTGGGCTCATTCGGTTTGAATTGAGCAAAGTGTGATTAAATCCATCTGAGCGCGGAGACAAAATGTCTTTTTTTTATTGGCCCCCCCTGTATATAAAACCTATTCTCGGCCTATACTTGAGGCACGCGGACAGTGTTTTCCCTTCGAAACAAAACTTGCATTAGGCGTTCCGAAGCGGTTCGGAGAAGTTTCCAGTCGTGATTTGTTCCTTCACTGTTATGATTTCTTCCTTCCGGTCTCTGCCTGATTCCTCTTCTCGTGATCAACTTCGGGGATTGAAAACTTCCGCTTTCATTGGGAAATCAATGATGTTATGATGATTAGTAGAATTCTCAATGGCCGAGTTAAGGTTCCATGCAATAGCTCCAGTTATCACCATCTCACCATCATGGTCTCATCTGTAACTAGGGAAGATCCGTAATGAAATAAACTTCATCTGTCAGCTCTTCCACTCATATGGTTAGGCACCATTTCTTTGTCAACCGCGCTGAGTCAGTATGTAAACGGCTAATGAAACAGGGTTCGCTCCCCACATCTGCAAACATACTCAACTCCTACTCAATAGAGTTCTGCGTTGACGCACCACTCGTTTCCATTTTTTTAATCATCCTTCATACCATTCTTCTATTGCTTATTGTTTGTTTCATGTATTGGGTTGATGCATAATATCGTAGTGCTCGCATTCGGCAAAAACGTTCAAAGCAAAACCCAAAAGCAAAGCCAAGCATAAAACTAATCAGTGATGTTCTTCTCGTCATTATATACGACTTTGATCCCATTTCGCGAAAGATTGCCGGGTCCAGAATTTAAAAAAGGGTACTGAGCCCGTTTTCAGAGTCCTCATCATTCTCAATATGTACGACGTAAATATGATTTGTGATTGAGGGTCGATCGGAGTAAGTTTCGATGATGACGATAGATCCCGAAAAACTCCCATTTTGGCAGCTTTTTTCTTTATATAGATTTTCGCCCACCCTGAGTTTCCAACTTCTAAGCACCATATCTGAGTACATTTACAATATAGAAGAAAATAACAAACAAGGTTTTGTAGAGCGGAAGAAGTACTTTCAAATGATATATGTGATTTCCTGGTAGTACTTGTATTCACTGAGTTTGTAGCTCGAGAAAAAATGCATGCACCAACCCAATATTTGTCGTTGTACGTTTGTCGTTTCGATTAGGCTGGGTCGTTTCGCTGTGTTCTTTTGTCCTTTATATTCTTCTGCCTGCAGGCTAATTTCACATGCTCGTCATGTAGTAAACATAACAAATAGTAATAAGCGAAAATATAAGGTTAAGAATATTGTGAGTTAGTAGGATATTGATAGTATAACTTATGCTCATAATCTATAGGCGTCCTACTTCGTGTGAAAATTCCAGCTTTTCCACATGAACGAGGAGACGACGCCAAGGCATTATGCGCAGCACCATACATGCACAAAACTGATTTCGTCGTTGAAGGTTATGGATCCGTGCCGGTGATCAATGGTGATCCAAAATGGTTGCCTATAAGAGTTAGGGTACGCATTTTGAAACAATTCACGTTACAAAAAGATGATAGTGAAGCTGCGAAAATGGAACTATATGTGCTAGTGATAAGCGGTTGAGAAAAGGCAGGATTACCAGCGAACATACTCGAATAAGACATGCAGTCCATTAGCATTAAACGGGATCACAGTGGAGAAACAATGCATGCTGGGGTGGCGATATTCATGAGAAAAAAAGACGGTACAAGTACGAGCGGTACACAAAACGACATCACGGCTGTTCCCACGATGCCACTGCCAATGTCACGGGTGTGAGGGTTGCGCCGTGGGCGCACCGTGCGCCCCGGCCCATTCGCGCTCGGATGCCAATGCGCAATGCGCCCATTGCGTCATTGGCTCCGCCCCCTACGGTCGGTGCCAGCCGTTGTTCGCCTACTATCACCGCGCTGAGCGGTCGCGTCCACGCTGTCTGCCTAGCTGCCAGGTAAGTCATGATAGGTGTGCTGCCCCTTGCAGCTGAGGTCCCCTGCTTGAACGGGTATTGCGTTGTCCAGAGGCTGGTAACCGGTGGCAGGTCGGTCTTCACGGGGAAACGCGGGGAGGCCGACTCAAGGCAAGGGGGAACGTCTCCCTCTAAGTCCATGTCGGCGGAGCGCCCACCGTAGAGCCGGTCGTGTTCCACCCCTGCTCCCCGTCTGGGAGCAGCCTGTCATCATGCCCCAGCGAGGACACGCCGACCGTAAGGTGCCCAGAGAAATGGTCCCGAGCGGGATGGGGGTCTAATACGTGCAGTCAGCTGGCCTGGTCTGCCCTTGAGCGAGGTGGCCGAGGGAGATCAGAGGTGATGGTAAGTTATTGCGTATAATAAATGTATTGTTTATATGTTGTGTTTATGCTCATGTGGGTTTTGCCCTAATTCTATGTGTTCATTATATATGTTGTTTGCGCCATGGTTGGCAAGGGTTTGGCGCCCTTGGTTCTAATCCGGGAGCTGCGGGAGGCAGTAGGGACCCGTTAGGAACCCCATGGTCCCCGAGGGGTTGGTCCGCTTCTCCTGCAAGGTGCGCAGGAGAGGTGTTGTGGACCCGATGGAAAGACTTCGGACCGAAAGGTTCGAGGCGTCGACAGAGCCACTTCCCACCGAAACATTCGCATTAGTGTACAAGAGCGACACTAATGTGATCCTGGGACATGCCTTTAAGCTATAGAAAATATCGAACATTTCAAGTTCCGAACTTTTTCAGGCATTCCTCGGATTTCACACAAAGCTCATGCGACCGGCTGCGATACACATTTGTAATGGTTCGTTCAGTGAAGCTGAGTACCTCACAGCGACTCTGGAGCAAATGGGTAATGCCTCGGTCAAAAAACAACCAATTTTTCCTCCCATTGTGTAGCTAGAGGGATTTTTCACCTATCACCTACAGAGGATTAAGAATAGTACACAGCTAGCCATTCTTTTTCAAAACGAGCCTCTACTACAATGCCGACAGCATTCACACAGTGGGGAATGAGTATAATGACAATACTGAACAGTAACTTCAGTAACCCAAGTTTGTCTGCATCTCCTCTTATTTTTTAGGCGTTCTGGAAAAGTTGACCGGTCGTGACAACGTCTTCGTGGCGCGAACTGATCCCCAAGATTCCACAGAAAAACCAGTGTATATATGCACCACAAAGCTAGAGGACATAGAAGCCAGGTGCAGTAGAGGAAACAAAACGAACCTATATCCCATACGAGCATTGTGATGTGGCTCGCCATCATTCCCTGCACCTGCACGTCCATACCATTCCACCAACCGTTTACACTGAAATACCACCAGTGGAACTGAAATAAGGGATGATGGAGATCGAATGTTAAGGAGGAAAATGGAAGAGGCACTTGCAAACGAGTCGTGAATCAGATTTGGTTCGGCCCTTTTCTACACTAGTTAGGGCCCATTCCCCGGTGATGGCAAGATCCTTCCTCCATGACGGCGACTGATCACACACGATGTTCACGTAGATTCATAGATTCAACATGAATTTAGCTCACTGAAGCTGAAATACCTGATTATAGAAGGCAACCAAGATCTTCATGGGCATTCGCACGTTGGATTTCACCAGCACAGTTTAACACCGAGGCTTTTTCAAGCTTTCCTGGATGCATGCAAGGAAGAGTGATGTGAGTTATATAGCATTCATCGAATTTGGGGGTGTAATCAAGGATCTATAAGGAGGTCGCCTCTGTTTGCTGATTCCATACATACTTCCAGTCCATCTGTCTAGAATTTTTTTGATGCATATGGGCTATACCAGCTAGAGGAGTTTGCAACATTTCTTGAGACATCCGGTTAGGCCTCTCATAGGACTTGCTCCCTGTATTGGTGATTGTGTTAGAAGAGGATCTGCGAGATTACACGCCAGGGCAGCTATGGGTGTTTCCTTCTGTCAGAGAAAGGGAGGCAGAGGTGGAGAACATAAAGTTCTGAATATGCGAGAAAGACAGTCCAGTTAAAAATTACAAGTTGGGGCGAGGTCGATCTCTTGGCACAACCATCTGTGGGTAACAGGCCCCCATCAGCTGCCCTAGGATTGACTGCAAAATTCCTTTATTATAACCTGGTCGGAACCGTAAACGAAGGGCTCCACTGATTTGACGAACTACTAGAAGTGAGAACAAATCATTCAGTAATCTCTGGAGTGGGCAATATAGGTAGGACCGTGATGCATACCTGTTATCCTCATAAATGATGATGTGACAGAGTAAACGTCTCTCCATTTAAGTCGTGCTGTATGCATGAAAATTCGTATGAATACCACCCTATCCTACCTTTCTTCGTATAATCTCTTCGTGGTGTCCCCTCTATTTACCATAGCTGAGTGCATGTTTTGAAATACCCGCAACGTCTGGAAATGACCAAGCGAGCGAGCGAGCGGGAGCGACGTGCATGGTGATAGTCTCTAGATGCTGCCCTTTCAAATTTTTGATGGTTTCGAATGGAAGCCAATGGTGTGGCACGTATAAAAACATCTACATACAGTCGATATCTCCAGGTCAGATTACGCGTGGCTACGGATT